GAGCACTCAATATAGTGCACCTTGCACTGTGACTGCGCTATAACTGACAGCTCATGGTCACTGTTTATAACCAGGAGTCGGTAGGTCAGGCTCTCACTGACCACCATGACATGATCACATGATCAGGAAGCCCAAGAAATGCCTCTGGTGTTCCCCATAAAGGGCCAGCCATGCACTCTCCAAAATTACATGGTGCCATTCCTTTATATTCGGGCTTACATACACTTTACAACCACCTCCGAGTGTTTCTATTTAAGTTACTTACTCTAAAATATGTCATAAATGTAATCATTTAACACTGAAAATAGGATCTCCTCACAGACAGACAGTAATGGAAAGCTAACAGGTGTTCTAGCCTTACCCTACTTTAGTATAAAATAAACATTTTTATTTCTGTTTTGCTGGTAGAGATTTTTTTCTTACTTACTGGTAAAACTGCTGTCACCAGAACAGTATGGCATGTCACCAGGACAATACGGCATGTCACCCGGACAGTAAGGCAAGAGTCGCCAGTGGCAGATTCATGCTGGACAGCCCTACACTTATTTTCCGGCCTTAATCGCTGCATAATCTCCCTTGCTTTCAGGGCTTGTTCACACCATCCTCAGTGTGGTCTGGCCCGATTGTGGCCGGAACGCACTGGATCGCATATCAGCAGGCTCACTTTGTTTTGGGGTGGAAGGGGGTGTAGCGGTGCATTGAACTCAATGGCACTGCAGCCACGCCTTCTGGCCACAATGCGATCGGCCGCACAGGAACGCTGGCACATCAGTGCCTGCATTCCTTTCCGGGGCAGTCAGAAAAAGTAGTTCATGCACTTATTTTTCTGACTACGCAAGCACTGAGAGGGAACCCGGGCAGTGTGTTCTGGCCCGATTGTGGCCAGAACACACTGAATCGCATTTCAGCAGACTCACTTTGTTTTAGGGTTGAAGGGGGTGTGGCGGTGCATTGAACTCAATGGCACTGCAGCCACGCCCTCCAGCCGCAATGCGATCGGCTGCACAGGAACGCGTGGCACATCAGTGCCTGCATTCCTTTCCGGGGCAGTCAGAAAAAGTAGTGCATGCACTATTTTTTCTGACTGCACAGGACCGGAAAGCAGGCACTGAGAGGGACCTGGGCAGAGAGTGAATGATTCCATAGAGACCATTAAGCAGTCTCCTAGTGATCCTAATGCTGTCAACTTGTCGCCAGCGTCAAGGCCGCCTGCATGACCTCAGCCTAAGTGAGGCAAGTAAGCTCTGGATAACAGTAACAGCCAAACAGGGTCACTAATCCTTTCCTGCTCCATCCAAAACTAAAAAAATCTCACTTTTACAATATGCTTAAACCTTCAAAGCATATCTAAATCCAAACACAAGAATTCAATATCCTTTCCCTTAGTCCTTAGATATGATGGCTGCATTCATTTTCCTTTTTCAGGCTCTTTTTTTTCCTTTTCAACTTGGTCATCCTGCCAGTAACACATTTCCTGTGCCTAGGTGACAACACTCACTCACTATACTGTATCTATAGAGCACTAGCATTGTTTCTGTAGGACAAAACTATAGGACACCCCCCTTCAACTCTCTTTCTCCATAATATAGGGGGATGTGTTCTAAAGCCTATAGGGTGAGCTGGGAGCAATGTAACTGATATGAGTGCAGCAGGGACAGAGAGCACATGAAGTTATCATATCACAAGATTTCTGGGAGGATCAATGGCTATGTTTCTGCATTTATGAAACAGATATAACAAAACACTCTCAATGGTATATTTAATAGACCAAAAGGGAGCAATATAGAGAAGTTAATTGTTGGGATTTACATACATTTTAACTGAGAAACTGAAGCCAGTGCTTAGAGCCAATACTTTCTCAGTTGCAGCATATTGTCTGCTACAAAATGACAGTTATCCTGTTCAATAAGTCAGATTGATTGTATATTGTGAAAACAAGTGGAAATAAGCTAAGGAAAAGGAGTGATCCATTTTCCATTTAATACAACTGAAAGAAGCAGTGCAGTAATTACATAATGAGGACTGGTGAAATCTGCGACTGTTTAGAAAATACTTTATGCCTTATTGCTTGTTTTTATTGTATAGAATACAACATATAGCTGTTGTTATGTTCATGCCGAGCATGCCAGCTGCAAGTGGCTTGCAGTCAGCAGCTGCTTAATTAACATGCTGCTGTTCTAGCTTGCATCAGGCTCCGGGGAAGCTGGGCTGGGTCAGAATACATCTGTATCATCTGACGAGTGGTACGTGCGTTATCAATTGTAGTGTAGTGTAATTCATGATTTAGATGGCTGGAGAAGTGGTACTGCAGGCTTTAGTTAGTGCAAGAAGAGAAAAAATGTGGAAGAGAAAAAAGTATTCAAAATATAATAATTGGGTTTTTTCAGGCAGACAATGCATATAGTGTTGTGTATTAACCCACAGCAGCCAATATACTGCAGTTAGATCAATTAAAGATAATCTGTCATTTTATCTCTAACCAGTTCACCTCCTGTACCCACTTATATTCGCCTTCATAGCACTATTTATTTGCTCTATTGAAGCTATCACAAATACCCACTACTTCTGGGTATGGGAGAGTATGTGACCTCTTCCCAAGGGGCAGTACTCAGGTGTAAGTGACCAATCGCTAGGTATAATTACTGTAATGTGGGGAGGGGGTGACTTCATTACAAATACTGTGTAAGCTCTATTTTAGTACCTACACAGAATTTCACTCACACCTGAGGAATAGGACAATGGGGAGAGCAGTGAAGGTGAGTCTAAGTGGGTACGGGGTTGGTCTTGTGAGAGACTATAGGCTCAAGATCAAACATCAGGATATGGATCCTTATTAAAGTGACATTAAATTCAGGAGTTAAAGGAGAACTATGGGGTTAGGGCTTTTCCCAATAGTTCTCCTTAGGGTAACGGGAGGACACAAACTAGCGCCCTCCCGTCACCCTAAGCTCAGTATACCGCGAGCTACAGCTCTCGGTATACTGAGACGTCACAGCTGAAGCGGATCCCGACAATTATGTCTGGAACCGTCCCAGCTGCGTGAGTGACAGCTGGCTCTTCCTATATCTAGAGGCAGAGCCAGCTGTACCCGCCCCCTCCCCCGTCAGTCAGCGCTATCGGATCGGGGAGGGGGGAATCCAGCCCCTCCCCTGTCACGACAGAGAGCCGAAACAGGATCGAGAAGTGAGCGAACGCCGGTATGTGTTTGCTCACTTCCAATCTACTGAGCCGACCTGTGACAGTCTCATTTTCACAGGTCAGCTAGAACTATGAGGTGAGTGAAAAGCACTCACCTCATAGTTCTTATTTAAATCTTCATTCAAGTACCCTAACTATTAACAAAAAAATTTCTTATTTGTGTCACTCAGCTACAGATCCTCATATCATCTGCACATTCATGCTGACAATGTCCTTCCTTCTGGAGGGTGGCTACTTTTGTTTCCCATGGTCCCTGTGTGTGTTGTAAAGTAGACACCACTCCAAGCTCGCCCCCATGATAAACTATAACTTCAGTACAAATTAGTAAACTAAATGTAAGATTGTAGTCCATCAGAGGAGCAAGTTTGAAGCAGTGGCTACTCTACAACACACACAGGGGCCGTGGGAAACAAACGTAGCCACCCTCGAAGTGGACTGGTAAGTGAAAGGCGTTCTGAGATCACAGCGATACTGTGGAAAAGTGGTTAGGGCTACTACAGCTACTTCTAGAGAAAATACAGAAGTCCTTTGGGTCTTTTAATGCATAAAGTGAGTACAGCTTTCCTGCTGTGTCCCTAGGTATTTTCAGATCTTTGGTGTGAATACACTTATACTGCAGTCTCCCCTGCCCTTATTAATTTCCATAGAGAGTTAGTATGGAGAACTAGTCCATATTAAGGAGCTGCATAGGATTAAATGGAAGTTTTGAATGCATGCACGGGCCTGATTCTGACAAGTGGTATCTCTCTAAATCAGCAACAGGTAAAAGGATGGGGTGGAGGGGCTGGGTGGTGGGGAAACCATGATATAAGTGTAACTGCACTGCCAACCAAATAGACTAAAGTCCTAGCATGTATTCCAAAAAGTGCCTACTACTCTCTTTGCCTAATGGTTTGATTCAGAAAGCATTAAAGTTGAACTATGGCTTTCTATTAAAAAAGATTTACTGCAGCACCTATAAGTTATAAGTGAATCTTCACTTACAGTTTTCTCAGCAAAGTCTCACAAATAACTGTTGAGCCCACCAGTGAAGTCCACCTAATGCAGCTTCCTGTGATGGTGTGACAATGCTGCTACACTGCTGCCGAATTCAGAGCAGAGTTTCCACTCTCATGTAGGCTGTTCCTGCTTGCACTACAGTGGAATAAAAAATATTGCAAGGGGCGCTACACCTATATCAACCTTTATCATGGTGATTGTCCAGCACTGGCCCCACCTATTCATGCCCAGTGGTTTCTGGATTGACAGTACCGCCTCTCTTGCTGAACCCTCCAATTGTGAGTTGCACTGTTTTGAGGGGGTGTAAGATGCAAATGAATGTAAAGTAAGTTTTTGTTTTCTTTGTAAGGCTTATGTATCACATATTAACTGGATGTATACTGTCATACAGGAGCCTTAAGAGTCCTTTATTACAAGAATAAGGATCTTTGTTTTAGCCATGTGACTCATTTTTTAAATCTGTCATTGTACATAACTGAACATAACTGTAATTTTAAGAAATGGGTATCCCTATCCTGGTGTGTTAGGTTTTTATATTGAACCTTTAGTATTAGGTAATGGCATACTTTTTTGTTATGTGGAGAATAAAAAATAGGATATATAGAGCTGCAGTGAGTCATCACTGTCAACATAAACATTCCTATATGGTACAAAATTTGAACTTAACACTTTATACCGTATATGGTAAGGAGTTTATTTTACTTTACATTGTAAACTAAGGAAATATCTTGGTAGAATAAACTCAATTTTGGGTGGTAACTGCATTGACTTTAGTTGTAATATTTTTCTCCCTTATTTGTAAGGTCAGTATCAGTTTAAAGTGCAAGAGGACATCGCTATCGGTGACTCAATTGGACGAGTGAAGGCAAATGACCGAGATATTGGAGACAATGCTAAATCATCCTTTGATATCATTGACGGTGATGGGAAGGACATTTTTGAAATCGTGACAGATTCCCAGACACAGGATGGAGTCATTCGACTAAGAAAGGTAACTTCTCACATTAAATAGGCTGCCAAATTCTTAAACAGTACATACAAACCCATCAATCTGCACTGTAGGCTGTCTTACTTGTGATTTGTGAGCTTGATGTGACTCTGTACAATGTTAGCTGTATACGCTGTCCTTCATCATCATACCTCTTGAAAATTATGGATGGGTGCCATTAAAACATCAAATACTATGCCAAACTATATTTGTCATAGAATATATCAAAGTGATCTGCTCTATAAATACAACTCTTCTGTTTAACTATTTGTAAGCACTACCCACTGGATTAGGAGTGAAAAAGTTTCCTGTCTTCACTTCTTGTCTCAGAAATGCAAAATCAAGTTACAGGAAATCTCCCAAAGTGTGAGGAATTCACTTTCATTCTCCATGACAATGGCCACCAAGCGGTAAATCTCCCCAATAGGGACACAGACTAAAATAAGTGATATATAGGTGTCTTGCTGCACTCCTTACCCGTATAGGATGTTACCTGAAATCCTGGTGGGTGCTTGTAGTGACCAGGAATGGCACAGTGAAGATATACAAGTTTGCAAAAGGATGTCACCAGCACACCATGTAAGTGAAATCAACAAAAGTCCATTTATTAATAGAGTACAGACTAAAATAAAACTAACCCCTCCATCTAGAATTGAAAAAAAAAAAATATTTTTCCTAGAGATACACTTTAAGCTCACATGGATATTAAAAAGAAAAGCATGTTAAAACACTTAGGGATTGCATAAAACATTGGGTTTAGACTAGGGATGCACCGATACCAAGTACCGTACTTGGTACAAGTGCGGATACTTTTTGAGCTCCAAGACTAGACTGGAGAAAAATTCAAAAGTTAGGCGGCAGCTGTCATTTGTAAGGAGCACACCAATCTCCTGGGATTTGTACATCTCTGTTTTAATGAATGATTTTGTTTTTATAAATATAAATAAAGGGATGCAACGATGCCAGTTTTGCGGGTACAAGTACTGATACATTTTTCTTTATTGTCATGTGACAGTTTTTCTAAAATAATACAGACTAATGATTTCAGGACAGTGGTGGAGCACCAGAGCCAGGACCCAGCTGCAACTGCTGCAACCCTGGTAGTTCTCATGAAAATGCTGAGTATCGGCACTGGTACTCAACAAGTATTGGTTTATCCCTATTTTATACAGACTTTAATAATTACCTGGCTAAAAAAAAAAGTTTAAATGTCCTTTTTATAGTCTCAACTTCAACAAACCGAATAAAGAAATAATGTTTAGAAGCCACTATACATAGCATTTAAACAGATTTTTAAACCTCAAAACCAAACTGCATTACACAACAAATAATGTGAAATAAAGGTACAAAACATACACGAGCATTAAAAAAATACAACTGTATTTTTCCTTAAAATCCATATTTTAGTTTTATTCAATATAATAACATTAATATATTGATATTCCCTTTACTCTCAATATCAGCCATTGATTCTTTGAGAAACATAATCTTGCAATTTTAGAAAGCATAATGTTATCACAGATACACGGCGGTATATACCTGGGGAGAACTAAGAGCAACATTATAAATCTACAAGTCCAAGAATGGAGCTGTAGGCTACAAAAGGTTAGCAAGCATAGACATTCCCTAAATCACTTCCGAAGGATCATTACACAGCTAAGAAAAAAAAAGATATAAATAAATAACAAAAAACTCCAGCGGTTGATATTCAGTAGGAATCCTGGGTAGTCTGCAATCTATCAAGCTCAATAAATTATTTCTTGTGTTTTTGCTCACTTCACAAAGGTTTAACAATGGTTCTCCTATAATTAGGTGAAGAAATAATTACCTTTTTGCTATAAAATCCCAGATCCAGTTCAGTCTTTCTATGTTCCCCTAAGAGAAAATTGTATCTGCATCCAGCAATGTATTCTTTGTTTAGGCAGGGATATGGATGTTAGGGAATGGTCAGTGTTACCGTTTTATATCAAACCATGAAAATAAAGACTGTTAGCAACTGTATGATTGCATGAAATGAACGTTGTTTGCTGCTAGACAACATAACAGTGTAAGATTGTAACTAGAAGAATTAAAACCCAGCATTACCCCATCATGATTCCTCTTATGCAATAAACCTAAGCCATGATTAGTGCCCCTGAAGCACGTTGGCTGGCCACGTGCCCAATAAAGATGTATATCTGAACCAATTTGTTTAGCTTGGTGCTAACTTACTTTCTTTTCAAGTTCATGCAAGCTGATTCTCCTCTTGGAACAGTATTGAACAATTGATTGATTGAACATTCACACTAATGCAATAAATAGACTTATTCAAAATCTCCATCGTGTTTGGAATCTACACTAATTGTAGAAGGAACTGTATGATGTCAAGTGCGTATTCTAATCAGTAGTGAAGCTAGGGCCAGATTTTTGTATACCAATATATGCCTTGAGCACACACAGTCACCCAATCAATGTGTTGTTGATATTCCTGTGTGTTATAAAAAGTTACAGACTGCCATCATGCATGCCAGCACAATATGGCCAAGTCATGATTATTGTTGTTCCAGCACAATTTGTGCATGTAGTGTATACTTTCAGACTTCCAAAGCTAAAGGTCTTTAAAAGCCTACCAGTGGTCAAAATCAAGGCAGTTCAAAGTGGCCAGTAAAAATATATCACTTTTGGTGCTCAAGATTGTATTTTAACCACCTCCCGGCCGGCCGTTGTAATTAAACAGCCGAACGGGAGCTTCCTGGATGTAACAGGCTGTCTAAGGACAGCCTGCTACCTCCACCCACTTGTGTGCGCCGCGCACGAGCGGGAAACTGACAAAATTTAAAAACAGGCAGCGATGCCTGTTTTGAAAGAAAGGATAGTGTACTCAGAGTTCCTCACCCAATGATGGTCATGAATAGACCTGGTTTCAATCGTTTCTCTCACTGACTAGCAAACAACCCTCAGCTGCTCATACGAGGCAACAAAGAAAGCAATTGGTTCTATCCAAAGTGGTTATGAACTTAGTGCAGCTATATATGAGGGTCGGAGAGTTAAATTGTAGTATAAATCAATTTATTGGTAAAAAACATGTAAGCCCATACACGGAACGAATGCACAGTTTAACCCACCACCTATACAGTTAATAAAAAGATTATTGCAATAACCCATTCATACATGCCACTACTCAACCACACAGGGAGCTAGCTGATCAGCGCAATCAATGTTGTCTGGTGGTCCTCAGATAAGGAGACAGGAACAGCAAAAAGGGGCCTTTTTAACTGTTCATAACCACTTTGGATAGAACCAATTGCTTTCTTTGTAGCGATGCCTGTTTACATACAAGCGATCCACCGGCAAAAGAGATGGCGGATCGCTTGTATAACGCGCCGTCTGTTCCCCCCTCTGCGGACTCCCCTCCCGCTGGTCCCGAGCTCCGCTGTGCCCAGTGCAAGCCCGGGACAAGAACGGGGCTCTGTGGCAGGGGATCAGAGGGAGATCGGTATACGATCTCTCCACGATCCCCTCTCCGATGTCAGAATGCGGAAGTGATGTATATTAGGTCACTTCCACATTCTGCTGTCACTCTCCAGCTTCAGAAGCTGGACAGAAGCTGGTGAAGCAGACATTAGGGGTCTTGGAGACCCCTGCTGTCTCCATAAAGAGGAACTGTCACATCCTCTTTGCTATCACATAGGGGGGTTTCTTACCCCCTATGTGATAACAATAAAGTTAAGTAAAAAAAATTTAAGTTGCAAAAAAAATTAGTCACACATGAAAAAGAATTAAAAAACAAAAACATTTTTAAAGTCCCCAGCCCCACATACACGTGTGCAAACATGTGCGTATATGTGCAAAAATGACAATTGGGCCCATTACGCCACACATGTTACATATCCCCGCGAGCTTCGCAGTGAGAGCAATAATTCTAGGGCCATCAATTACTGATAACACTAAACTGATGAGCGGTAAAAGCTTTTAAAGCGCTGCCTATGGTCAATTTTGGGTATGGTAGTTTTTTGCAACTTCGTGTCTATTTCTTGCAACTTTTGTGTCTATTTACCCAATGTGACCCCATCTTTTATATTTTACCAAAAAATTGTATATACAATAAATGTATTATAATGTAAAAAAACTTGTTTCAAATTTTTCAGTAATATTTCCTTAATATAGTAAAAAATAAAACCCTTCTGGTGATTAAATACCACCAAAAGAACGCTCCCTCTGTCCCAAAAAAATTGTATAAAATTCATTTCAGTACATCATTGCATGCCGGCATAAATGTCAGTCAAAGTACCACAGTGCTGAATACTGAAAAAAGGCCTAGGCAGGAAGGGGGTTTAACACCTGGTCAGCAAGTGGTTAACTGAATCAGGACAACTGATACTGAAGACATAGGGGTCTATTCACTAAGCTGCCATAGGCAGCCGAGTGAATGACCGACCTGAAGTGAGCCGAACACTGTTCGGCTATTCACTTCAGGCTGGTACGGCTGATTTCAGCCGTGCATGCTTTCAGCAAGGCTCAGCCGAGCCGATGCATATGCATTCGGCTTGACTGAGCTGCTCGGCCAGGTTCAGGAGCTGTTCTTCGGCTGGGGCCAAAGCTAGCCGAAGGATCGGCTGAAGCGACGGCTAACTCCTTCGGCAGCATCGTGAATAGACCCCATAGTTCTGGTTCTATATGTATTCAAAATTTAAACAATTTAGTATTTTTTGGCTTATCCTCTTGAATTTAATTCATTTAGCACCTTGTTTGCAACTGTTTGAATTAAAATAAATGTATTGAATACGGCCATAGTAAAACTGTTGAAAGCATGGAAGAACGTTGAGAGCTGCTTATGGACCATGATTCTTAATAATTCAGGGAAATGAATAGTAAGGGGTTAGCCTCCCAAAAAAAGGGGTAGGTCTGAAGGATGCGTAGCAAATATTTGGGTGCAGAAGAGGTCACATTCACCTGAATCTCTGCCACCCAACAGACAGGTTAAAGCCTCCTAAAGATCATACCACCCTCCAACATTTTATTTG